GGGCACATGCGCTCGCCAGAAAGACAGAGAGAGACATAGAGACAGAAAGCGAGAAATCACCCCCCAGGGGGGATGGGCACACTGCAATCCCTTCTCCTCCATTCTCCTCTCGGGATCTTGGGCACGCACACACACGCGCCCGGCGTGAGTTTTAAGCCACCGGGTCGGGACGCGAACCGCAGGCGACTATGTGGGAGTCCAGCAACATAGCCATTACGCTAACTGCTGGTCCCCGTCAATTAAAATTTTAAAATATAAAAAGTAGTAAAGCCACAGGCTAGGAGAAAATATTTGCAACACATATATCTGGGTCCTATGTCTTTCTAGCAAATCTACAAATATGGGTAATCCTGGAAACCCTCGATCAAGATATAGACAACTTTCTTGGGTAATGGTAATGTTTTGTGTTTTCATATGCACTTGCCCAAGCAGATCAAATATATTCGATATGAGCATTTTGCTATTTATAGATTATAGTTCAATAAAACCAAAATGATTAAAAAGGGCACACATTTTTCTAAATGCCAAATCATAACCGGTAAGTACTATAAGCAATAAAGAGTTGACACAGTAGAATTCAGGCCCCAAAACAAAGGCAAATATTTCATATGGCTAAAATCTACAATTTATGATTTCTTACTTAGGACACTCCAAGTATAAATAAATAGGAATAAAAAATGAAATTGAAATAAACTTCAAATAAAGACAGACTTCATTAAAATAAAAACCTTTTACTCTTCAAAAGTCACTAAAAAAAAAAAAAGGCAAGACAGAAAAAGACAATATTCACAACACATGTATCCGATAAAGAACTTGGATCCAGAATACATACAGAATTCTTATAAGCTTATAGGGGCAGCAAGCAAATCAGGGGTTGCCAAGGCTGGTGTGGGAGGGTTTGCAGAGGTACAAGGGAAAACCAGACACAAAAAATATATTCTACATGATTTCATTCATTTGAGGATGTAGGTAAAACCATGCCAATAGTTACAGGGAAAGGTAGGAGCCCAGGTCCATGGGAGATAACCGGCAAACGTGGATGGACTAACGACAGAGCAAAATTGGCGTAAACTCAGGAAACAACTCACAGTGCTCGATTAACAGCCTCCTCCCTAAATTCTCCAGTACTTTTCTGCTATCACTTCGCAGTCCCTAAAAACTCCACTTTCCGTCAGCTGAGTTCTGGTCTCTCCTCCCTATCGGAATAGCCTTAAACTTTTCCTTGCCTGTTGAACTTTCTCTGATGCGATTTCTATTTCTACCAAGAAAAAAAAATTATCTGTAGCTACAGTTATTGAACATTTACTATGATCCAGCAATTGCAATATCAGAATTGCTGAGTACAAGGAGTATCATTTTTCTCACGGCTGAGTAAACTGAGGCTGAGAAATCAGCAGTTAGTCGTGGTCACAGCACATACCTGACCTAGGCAGGACTAGAGCCAAGACGTTACCTCCAAAGCCACCGAGTTCAAACACTGCACAGCCAAAATAAAATTCCTAAGAGCGATTCTGTTTGATTTACTCTGGTAAGTTTGCGTGTGCGTGCGTGCATGTGTGCGTGTGTGTATGTGCTGGACACTGAAGTCTGGTGCTTTGTGTTTTCATCAGGATTGGGGTGCACTTTCTGGCTCTGCGCTCCCAGGGCTGGCTGCGGTCTGCCTACCCTGGCGTCGAAGAACCCAGGCCAGAGCAGGGGGGGAGTCTTTGGCAGGAGACAGGGTCTGGGGACCCCCGACACTCACCGCTCAGACCTCGCAACCGCCACCGCCTTGGGCAGCCAAGGGGCGCGCGTCGACTCCGGAGCGGCGCCTCCTCCCAACGCCCTCCCAAACCGCCCCACTTGCAGCCGCCCCGCGGACTCGCTGGTGTGGACCAACCAAAGGCGCCGACCGGAGCCTCGAGCTTGGCAGGGCGGAGGCAGGGGGCCAGGGCGCAC